GTGAAGTGGAAGCCTTTATTTCCACAGAAGTAAAGAAGCTGAAGATGTGAGTCCCTTCAGGATGGACCTAGACCTGTGAGCTCAGATGAGAACGTGCCAGCTCAGATGAACTGCTTTCACTGGGCATGGTAGTGTCCACCTGTAAATTCCAGCCCTCAGGAGCCTGAGGCAGGAGGACCTCTGCAAGTTTGAGGCCAGTGTGAATTACATAGCAAGACTCTGTCTCGAAAAAAATAAATATAAATGAAAGAAAGAAACAACTGCTCTTACAATGAGAAACCAACAAAAGGAACTGGGAGGCCATATGTGGGGGATTTTCTCACTGGGTGGGGACAGCGATAAATTCACTTTGGTTGCAGAGCCATGGAGATTAACAGTTAACCTCAGAGACAGCAGTTTCTGGGCTGAGCTCTTCTCATTCCACCATATGATCCAAATGATTGGTTTCATCTTACTCCCTCTTCAAGTGTTGCTTGAAGCATTATGTTCTTTCCATGCTTCTTGTCTTGCCTTGGAGAAGTGGCTTCTGAGATCAGAGGCCCCATGGGTTGAGCTTGGCCCTGCCCTGGGCAGAGATAAACAGGCCTGGAATCCATTTCCCAGATTGCAACACCAGTGAGTCAGGCAGGGTCCGACAGACAGCCAGTCCCTCCCAGGCGCCCCTTGCTTGTACCTGATAAGGAAGAATCGCTCATTCCAGTGCTGTCTTGGGAGCACACACACATAAACAGACACTCCCAGGCCCACGTCATCGGAGAGTCAATTATTGACCTTTGAATGTCCGGAGCCCCTGGAAAAGAGGAGAGCAAATGTACCCCTGCTCAAGAGCAGTTCCAGTTTCTTTAAGAAAACCAGGGCTGTCCTTGGGGTCTACTCTGGGGCCACCTTTGAAACCTCCTGGTCAAGGGCAATCTTGGGGTGGCCTCTGCAGTTCTGGAGAGAGGACAGAAGGATCACAAAGAAGGTGGGAGGCAGTCAGAACGGCAAGGTGGATTTATGAGGGGAAAATGGCAGAAGGCCCAGGGAGAAAAGGTGTGTTATGAAAATGCAAATATATTTGCATCAAAGTGAGGGAATTGAAACTATAACATCTTCCATAAAACAAAACAGCCCCCCCAAAAAGTGAATGCTCTTCTCCTTAATAATACACAGTGTATAAGGAGGGGCAAAAGGAGTGTTGATAGTCTCATAATAGTTACACAATAATGATGCCAGCACTGATGCCATATTGCACCTTGTAATCAACCCTTCATATTAACTTTATGAAAGCAGTTCATAGTTCACAGGGGGTTTCCACATTCATCTTTTCCATTTACCTCATCAACCCACTCAAATGGGTAAGGCATTATGAGGCCCATTTTATAGACAAGAAGACTGAGGCCTAGGGAGGATATGTGCAATTAACTGTGGTATAATTAAGAGCAGGGAGGGACAGGTTTGTCCTAAGCATCCCATAGCTAAAATGCTCCCTAAAGACACAGTATCGTCTTTAGGATGATTCCTTTTCAGTGACCATTCAGGGGGCTGAATCCCCATTGTATTACTAGGTAGAGCAGTCATATTCTTTCCAGTGCTCTCTGCAAGTTTCCAGCCTTCTTGTTATTATTTTGATTCTGGGGACTGAACCCCAGGTCTTCCTGCTAAGCTACATCCCCAGCCCTTTTAAATTAATTAATTAATTTCACAGGGGATTGAACCCAGGGCCTTTGCACAGAGCTGCATTCTGAACCTTTTTTTTACTTTTTATTTATTTTTCCCGTACTGGGGATTGAATTTAGGACCTTGCACTTGCTAGACAGGCATTGTGCCACTGAGCTAAATTCCTGGTCCCTTTTACTTTTTATTTTGGGTCAGAGTTTCACTAAGTTATTAAATTGCCCAGGCTGAGCTTGAATTTATGATCCTTCTGCCTCAGCCTCCCAGAGTGCTGGATTACAGATTTGCGCCCCTACACCTAGTTTTTATTACTATGTTGAGACGGGGTCTGTCTGGCTAAGTTGTCCAGGTTGGCCTCGAAATTATAATTCTCCTACCTCAGTCTCCTAAGTAGCTGAGTCCTCTGGTTATGTTTTGAAGTAACAGCATCGGTGAAGAGTGAAGCAGTAGGAAAAGTTTCTAGGACCCACTCCCTACCCTTCTTTATCAAGCAAATGTCCCTTCTGTCTGTTCTGGACCCCTCATCCTGTGATTCTAGAGATACCACCTTAGGTCCTCTATGTTGGTCAGTGTACCTTTCAGGTGTTTGAGTGTGTGTGGCCGTGCCTTACTGGTACAGGAGATCCTGGTGTATGGATCTCACCTGGGTAGTCAGGCAGGTATTCTGGAAGTCTAAGGCCTAGAGGAATCTATTTTTTTGGTACCGGGAATCGAATTAAGGTCCTGGTGCTTACAATGCAGGTGGCAGAACCACTGAGCTAAATCCCCAGCCCTTAGTGGAATCTTAAATGTAGTGATTCTTAAATTTTGGTCTGCAGCAGAACCACCTGGAGAGATTGTTAAAGACAGGGCTGTCCAGGATCCAGGCGTTCAAAATCTGAACTCCCAGGGAAGGTACCTGGCCATTGCAGCTTAACAAGCTCCCCAGGTGATTCTGAAGTACACCTGAGCTTGAGAACCACTGCCTTTGCCTAGAGTGGGAGTTCATCAGGTGAGGGAGGGTGAGCAGCCATTCTGGGAGATGAGATAGCAACAACAGAAGCCCAGGGAACTTAGTGGAGACAGTGAACATGACAAATGTCTGCTCCATCTTTATCTCCCTTTAACAAAATGGTCAAGTAAAGGGGGTTAGAAGTCTTTTCGTTCAGACCTGTCCTACTTTTGACAGATTTGCTACGTGAAATAGGAAAGAGCAATGAACTCCTTTTAGAAGCAGTCAAAACAGACCATCTTTTTCAGAACACAGAATAGAGGTTACCAAGGCCTGTGGGTGGTGCTGGTGGGGAAAGAGGCATTATTGTTTAGTGGGCAGATTTCTGCTTGGGTTGATGAAATCTTCTGGAAATAGATAGTAGTAATGGCTGCACAGCATTTAAATGTATTTAATGCTGTTGTGCTGTATACTTAAATATGGTTAAAGTAGTAAATTTTATATTATGAATATGTTACAATTTATAAAATAGGTGGTCATTTAAGGCCTAGAATGATAGGAGCAAATGATGTTGTTTTAGTCCATTGCTGCTGCCCCAGGTGTACGTGGTGGGGTGGGGGTGGGGTTACAGAGAGGCACTAACTCATAGCACCTGGCCTGACAAAGTACAGTACTACTCATGGGAACAAGGGAATAGAAATAACTTTGGAAAACAGATGGTAGTGAAGACCTCATAAAATATAGGAGATATTACTTTTCCTTCCCTCCTTACCTGGTTGGTTCCTGGGATCAATATTACTTCTTCAGACTTCATTGTGCATAGATGTCACTTGGGAACCTTGTTAAACTGCCAAGTCTAGCTTAGTAGGTCAGAAGGTGCTGACACTATAGACCCATGTGGGAGGTTGTGTAAATGCAATCTTGGTTCACCACTTTAAGTCCCACGAAGTGATAATACATAGGAAGTGTTTAATAAATATTGAAGAAATAACAGAGTAACAGAGTGTATATCAGGTGGGTATAGGAGTTTGGAGGACAGAATACTCTTTGTCCTGGACTTCAGTATCTTTAGAGTGATCTTTTGGGAAGGGGTTCCCCCCTGTATCTTTTTTTAACAGCAAAATATTTATCGGTACATTTTAGGCATACATAATGGTAACACTCATCGTAAGTAATTTGCACCTGTACATGATACGTCCCACCTTTTTTCCCATTCTCCCCTTCTATTAAGCCCTCTCCCCTCCCTATGTACAAACGCTTTGTTTCCATTTTTTCCTTCTATTTTCTCCTCTATTTTCTTGTCCCTTCCTTCCTTTCTCCCTCCCTGGGGTGTTTCTATTAGTCATTCTCTTTGTGAAATTATCTCACAATGTATAGAATGAGGATGTTGATCTAAATTATTTCTGGCCTCAGTACCTTGCTGCCTCAGCTCTAGTCCTTGAAGTAGTTAGTGGTCGTGTAAGAATGATGAGCCCGGGTGTATAGCATCTGAAAACAAATTCTCTCCATCTGAGGAAGGATCAAGAGTGCAGGGAACCTACTGGGGTGGGAGTTTCCAGATTTTTGGCACCTGTGTAATGGCCACATTGGCTTCCTGCAATCTCAGGTTTTTTAACTGTATGTGAAGAGGTTCATAAAACACATGAAGGTGTCAATGTTGCCATTATTTACTACCATCGTTTATGACTATGGTAACGACACTGGCAGTTGAGCGATAGTGTGGGGAAGTTGGCGGAGGGGGACAGAGTGCTGAGAGATGACAGAAGGAAGAGGAACTACATCTCCCAGAACACTCCGCGAAAGCACCCGCCGCCGCGGCGCCCCACCCCTTGGGCCGGCGGGTCCGCCTCATATGATGACGTCACAGAGGTGACGTCACGACGCCGAGAGCGAGGCTGGGGTAGAGGCCGACCTAGCAAGAGTCGTCCGCTTGTGGTGGAGGCGGCTAGGAGGCT